CCCCTCTGTATGGGCAGAAGACAGACAGTGATTTCACTTTTAGTTAGTTTGACAGGATGAGACGCTGATTCATTAACAGTCTGAGAGCCTGGTAACTCACAGTACAGGAGTCATGGCCAACGAAACGTATCTGCTCACGTTTAAAGACAAAGACACAACTACGCCTTTTGATGCTGAAATGAGTAATCAACGAATCATTCGGTTAAACAAACGATGACTTCCTCATTTGGGAGGACTTAAAAAACAAGACATTTTCAATCATCTTGAATTGTAGCCGATACTTTTCACTATCTTCTGATATTTTAAAGACTAAGGACTGATAAAAATAATTGACAGATGAGCTGATAATGGAAAAAAAATGTTGCAGGTCGGGAACGTTTATTTTTCACCTCTTTTTATACACACGTTTTTAATATTGACACAATTTTGCTTAATATTTGAGAGTGAAAGTTCATTCTTGACTTGGAAAAACAGTTGATAAAACCTTTCTGTCTCAACTTTAAGGCCAACATGGACAGGAAGTCCTTAAAATGATTTACAATCTTCTTCTCAACTGGGTGACCTCCATCTGTTGAGTAACGGTTGTGTAATGATCCAACACTCCAAAACAGCTACTGCTCTTTTTGTTTCTAACATTTCATCCAACTGTTAGTCAGAATCCCTACCGCCACAGGTCTGGTCCCCAGGAAGTTAAGGTCTGTATTCTCCCCAAACAGGTAACCCTCCGGATGAGTGGAGTCAAACTTCTCTCCCCCCATGATGAAATGGCTGGCGAAGTAACTCCCTGCACACACAAAGACTCACTTTTAAACACAAGACACTCAAAATAAACGGCTGGATGGATCATCAGCATATGTGGTACAGACATTCTAGAAGTTGGGGTCAAAGGGTCAAAGGCCAAGGACACAACAAAAATCTCTATCTTACATAGGGCAAATCAAAAAACACTTTGTCATCGAAATAATTTGAAATTTAGGGTGGCATTGTCACCAGACCAAATTTCATTCAGATCTGATCCGGATTCCAGATACGACCCCATTTAACTGATATTTTCTGCGATAACTTGACCTATTGAAAAGATGGAACCTTGAAATGTTCAGGTAAGATGCACAGTATAACCACCTATCATACCCTAAAAGTTGATCCGGATCTGATCTGGATCAAGGATTTTAGGAAACATTTTGTGTTGTTCTAGATCTCATTTTTCACGAGGGACCCGTTTGCGTGAGCGAATGTTGTGCCTTGGTGGAGGTACATGTGCTCTCTGAGTGCTCTTGCTTACGTATGTATATAACACAGTTCATACAGTAAAGTAGCTCAAAGTGGTTCTCATGTAAATAAATTAAAGAAGATCAGAATACATCACATGAAAATGGGCTGGAGGAAATTATAGGGATGGTGAGCTGCCTTGGCAGGCGCTTGCGCTCTTGGAGTGCTGTCTAGTTTTGCTTTTCTAATTTCAAAAAGGAAAACAAAACCAAGGTTTACTGACTGCTTACAGCTTGTCCGCCTGTTTACAAAGACTTCAGGTTAATGAGGACAACACTAAATAGACATTTTGTAATTTAATGACAGGGTGGGCTGACATCATAAGACTGTAATAGTGGCTTTGAGTCTTTAAATACATGCTGGACAGTCAAGTCATACATCTTCTGGGAGGACAGCTCACGTGCCTGTCTTCTTTCACACTTATTAATGTTGCAGGGGATAAAGGGTTTGGATGCTCTGACCTTAAAGCCGTTTTTGTGGTACAAGAATTCATAACAAGAAAAATCATGAGCTAAAAAAAGCTGCAGTGACGACACTGTTTCCTTCTCTCTCTTCAGCACCTTGTTATTATTTACAGCAGGTGGGAGAGGTTTTGTCACCAGATCCCACAGACAGGAACTGGGGCTGAGAGATCGGTTTCACCAGCAACCGTCGCCATCATCCTTCCTCCCCTGCCACTACCACCATCTCCTTCAGGCTGCAAACAGGACTGTCAAATCACAAATTCATACTGTGACTAACTCACAGAACTATGGTGAGAAGGGCAGCCACAAGTCAACCATGTCTCTTCACTTCCATCCTCTCTTCAGTCTAAGATATTACTGTGATATCTTCTGGACTAACACACCATGAGTGGGTATAATAAAACCTACATTCCCTGATCCTGTTTCAGATTTAATTTTGTGGGGCAGTTTAATTTGCTTTGCTCATGATTGATTTGAAAAGCCCTAACATTATTTCTTCACAATATGAGTTTTTGACGGTAGTATTGGATATAATATTGGATCACTGCTAAACCCCATCGTGGAGGGATCAAATAATGAGTAATGGGACTCGGAATCCCAGTTTTCTGATGTTCTATTGACTAAATGATGAGTATATTAATTGAAAATAAAATAGTAAAGTTGATAATGAAAATAACTTGCAACCCAAAAAACTGATATTTGATATGGGCTATATATTAAAATTTTATTCTAAATTTGAGCTGATAGCACTTTGCCTTTTAGTATTTTAGTCAATCAACATAAAATATTTTATGTTAAATTCACTAATCAGCTAATATATTTATAAAACCATAATCCCAAATATTCATGTTTTACATATTCTCAAATTAGAATTTGCTCCCCTTCTCTGTTTTATATCACTCTCAATATATTTGGGGTTTGAATTGTTGGCCAAACAAAACAAGCAATACAAATGTACAGTATCACCATGGGTTGTAAATCTGTGAAGGATATATTTATTCATTTATATTTTATCGCTATGTGTACTGTGAAGGATAATGTAAAAGACACATATTACTTTCATGGGCATAGCATCTCTACTGCTTTTGCTGACTTCTTATTTTCATCCTCATTGCATCCATCATGACACAGGCCTGTTTATTTTAAAGGCAGACTGATGATGCTATTAACACAAGTCAAGCTCCCTAGTACATGCCCATGAATGCACCAACAGAAGAGCCAATCCCAGTAATATCTCTGACACTCAGCCAACAGCTGAAAACATAAGGTTTATAAATGGATAATTAGTGGGATCCACTATAGACAGGTAAAAACATGCATGTCCCTGACAATGCAACAATGCTGCATTAGCAGAAATAAATTTGAGTAACGTCACATGTTAACGTTAATATGAGGCAACGATCAATGTGAATCTGTTAAGGGCAATTTTCGTTAGAAAATACGCTTATAAACATCATAAATCCCCCCGTCTCCACAGGTAGCTCTCCAGGTTAAATGCCCTGCAGGTCCGTCAGCAAACACGGTATGATGTATTATACATGAGAGCCACAAGCTGGGGTATGATGGTGATGGTGGCTAGACTGCTTTTAATATGCCCTCACTCGTTTATAGCACAGAATAGATCATCTGCAGTAAGCTTCGCAGCATTAGCCCTCACCTCAGTTTGACCTGTAGTTGGTGACTTACCGGATTTCGGTGGATAACGATAAACCGAACTGGACGGAATGTCCACTTCTTCCACGCCAATGTTTTGTCTGCTGGTTAAAGCTCCCATTTCCAGTCAGATAAAGACCCCACGGGTAAACGGGCATCACACTTCAGGTTGGCTTTGTCCGCGGCGGCTCCTTGTTCCCTATCATTTAATCCCGTTCTGTAGTATTTCCAGCTCCGCCGTGAATGTGAGCGTCCTGGGGATTACTCCTCTGACACCTTAACCCTCCCTCGTCAGCTCGTTTTTGAAACCGAAAACTGCGGTTAATAGCGACAGGGCGCCCGCATATTGCACCGCATTCACACAACGGACCGAAGCGAAATCTCCGTTACTTTACGGGCGTGTATGTGTCAACAAAACAGTGATTTGGTCGTCTACATCTCGCGGCCCGCTAGGTCTCGGTCATGTAGCCCCGGTGATTGTCCGTTGTTAGATTATATCAACGAGGTCTATGGGGAGCCATAGACCATGACGTCAGCCAGGCACAACCGGACCTGGGTTTTTGCGCAGTCCTCCCTTCTTCAGTGCATTTCCAGCGGCGACCAGCCCGTTTTATAACGTGACCTTCCTACAGGCAAACGTGAGCAGTGCTGACTGCAGTGCAGAGAGGATGGCTTTGTGGAATACAAACCCAGCCGAAAATATCTATAGTCCCTAGGCATGCCCGTAAAGGCTCAGCAATGTGGACTAACAACGGATAGGCTAATGGTAAATAAAATAGAAGACAGCTGAAGCCTTTTCGGTAATAATAGGGTTACATAAAGAAAGCTGTGAGAATTGTTTGACGAGACGGGATTCAAAGCAGTAAGTTAATTCTTATAGTTGTTAAATGGGATTCGTAAACTAGAAACAAATCGCTAGTATGGTGTTCAAACAAAATTAAACAAAGAGAGAATAACGGTATCACATTACCGTTACAAGCGCCTCGTGAACGACAAGGGGCAGTGCAATGGTGTATTCACATTATAGTTAACGGTTGGTGTGACAGAAGAATATGAACATGGAGCATGTCCTTTTTGAGTGCCCTCAATAATGATAGATAGATAGTTAGATAGATAGATAAAGTTGAACCAAGAAGGAATCAAACACATGTAAAACATCGTTCCTACTAAGAGTCATGCCTTGATATCCACTGTATATCTTCAAGAAGCATGCTTTCAAGAAGTAAAGGATTATAAACCAATAGTTGGTGGCGCTAGTGTTCCGCCAGGTCCCATTAAAGATAGTTTTCGCCAATAAAACAAAGAAGAAGAAGACGGAAGTCGGACAGCGAATCAACCAATCAGAGGAGGACAACATGGGCGCAAAGAAAGGGTAAAAGGAAGCTTTATTGCCGCCATTTCACGTGAAAGCAGTGCCGAAGGAAAGACGTTCAGGGCTAAATAACAACCAACACAGTAAGATTTCGAATCAAATACTTTAACCAGAGAGTTATAAAGCATTAGTAACAGTTTTAGCAAACGGTACGACCCAACAGTTTTAGTCTTAACCGGTCTGTCCTGTTGCTTGTAGACGAAGAAAATGAGTTACGGAAGGCCGCCGCCAGACGTTGAGGGAATGACCTCCCTCAAAGTGGACAACTTGACTTATCGAACTTCACCGGAGACTCTACGACGAGTTTTTGAGAAATATGGTCGTGTGGGTGATGTGTATATCCCCCGTGATCGGTACACCAAGGAGAGCCGCGGCTTCGCCTTCGTGCGGTTTCTCGACAAGCGCGACGCCGAGGACGCCATGGACGCTATGGACGGCGCGCTGCTTGACGGGCGGGAGCTCCGGGTGCAGATGGCCCGTTACGGACGACCACCGGACTCCATGTATAGCCGAAGAGGTGCTCCGCCACGCAGATATGGAGGGTACGGACGGAGAAGCAGGAGGTAACGCGAGTTTGGTTAGGTTTAGCTGAGCCTGAACTCGTTTGTCTTGCTAAGGAAAAGACAGCACGTGGTGTAACGTTATTAAATGAAAGTAATCTAAGCTTGAAAACATTTCCTGCTCGTTTTCGTTTGATTAAGTAAACAGATATACGTTATGTAACATCACATAGCAATATATTTAATAGCCTAAAATGTACCTTGCATTTTATTATGGTAGCCATGTTGATACAGTGCGGTATTACAGTGCGGTATGCTTGCAGATAACTATTGTTTTCATGACCTGGTCTTTTTCGTTACAGTACAGAGTTATATACTTGAGTTATTAGCAAACTGCAAAAAAAGACATCACATATACCTAAAGTATGAATCTTACATTAGACTTCCTATAATATTTAATGAGTTACTACAATGGCTTCATCGCGAGGCTGTAAAGTAACCTTATGTAGTCTAAATATGATATTTAATTGTCAGCGTCCAATTTATTTGGGTTTGCCCCTTTTTTGTACCCACAGCCGTTCAGCTAGCCCCCGTCGTCGCAGACGCAGCCGCTCCAGGAGCAGAAGCCGTTCTCGATCCAGGAGCCGCCGCCACTACAGCCGCTCCAGATCCCGCTCCTACTCCAGATCCAGGTCTAGGTCCAAGTCCAAGACCAAGTCCAAGTCTAAGTCTAAGTCTAAATCCCGAACCCCAAGACGGAGCAAGTCAAAATCTGCCTCAAGGTCTCGGTCCCGCTCCAGATCCAAGTCAAGGAGTCGAACCCCGCCTTCCAACAGAGGGTCCAAATCCAGGTCCAGGTCCAAATCCAAGAGTAGGCCTAAATCTCCAGAGGACAACGGAGCAGAGTCTTAAACCAAACGTGGACACAATATGACGGTATTCAGGGGACAGGGTGGTTTAATAAAGGTCTTTTTTTTTTTTATTCTGATAGTATTCAGTACTGGGATATTCTGAAGTCTTGATGCTACATTAGTCATTTGCACAAATGCCACAAAGTCTGTAGAATCCTAATTGTTTTTAGAAATTAAAATTAGATTGAAACTGATATAGACATTCTTAGGACTGTCTTTGCTTTACTTTGCTTCTATGTGCAGTCAAGCTAAAGCATACACAGGCAATAGGAGATTTGGCTCCAAATGATCTTCCACAGCACATATTTCAAATTGGGGTGATGTGAGTGTGTATGGGAGGGAGGGGTGGTTGGGACGTGGGTGCTTCACTCAAAACGTTCACCTAAATGTGGAATTTTTTCCTCCAAGCTGCGGAGTCCTGTTTGCAAAGAGAGGAGGAGGAGATGGGGGTGTGGCAGTGTGAGAGCAGTTAGTGTGTGACCCGCCCATGTGACCTGCCTGTTGCTGAGAGCGTTGGCAGTTGCTAAGGAGCAGGTCACCAAGGCAACGGTGGTTGCTATGGAGCAGGTCCTCATGGCGGTGGTTCGAGATGTCAGTTGGTGTAAGGTGGTGGTGTGGTGAGGTACGTTCACAGGGATCACAGGCAGATGCGCTGAGCTCTGTTCCCACCCGTGCCTGTGGTTTTCTCCGCCTCTGACAAAGGGAACGGACCCCGAGGTTTGTTTTTTAAATATGGCCAAGTGCAAGAGTCATATTAGAGCTAGTCTCTGGGAGAGTGGGGCCAACAAGAGTGTGTAAGCATGAAAATGACTAGTAATGTTGGGTATAATACCTCAAAAAAAGCCAATATGATAAATTTTTGTGTCAGGGGGAGGGGACCTCAGATCATTACTGCATTTGAATATCAAGGTCAGTTGTAGGAGTTAATATAATCTTTTTTGTTTTGCTCTGGTGAACTCTATTCTGTCTTTCCTTCCAGATCTCAGATGATCAAGCCTTTGTCCAGGACATCAGGATGAGTCACATTGAGCAAGTGGACTCCACTACTACCTTTGAATGCAGAATGAAAGGTTATTGGAACTTGGTCTAAAATATTTTAAATGTTTCAGTTGAGTTAATTTGCCTAAACAAACTGTAACTTTGTGTCATCATTGTGAAGTTGAGCATATTGAAAGATTTTTTTTTTCACCCCATTTAAATTTGACTTTTTGCATTTCGTTGAATTTGTACTTAATAAACAATTTTTGGATTTTTTTTTTAATGAAGTCCCTGGTTTAATATTCTAAATGGACATGAAAGAGTTTTACTTGTGGAGTTATAGCAAAGGGTCCTGTTAGATGTTCAAAGCCCTTACACTTAATGAGAAAAATGGCTTGATGTACAGTGACAAAGCAAAATATTGCAATGCTACTTAATTTGTGACTTGCTAATCGAGCAGCATAGGGTTTTCTTTTCTGTCAAATCTCTTTCTGTCTGTTTAAAGTTGCTTTCCTATGACTCTAACCCTCTTTCTTGTGTATCTTTTGTGCACTAGGCGCAGTTGTGTAGCAGTTGAGTAATGCTGGTTAGCTGTTAAGATGCGGTGCAGTGCGATGGTGACATGGTGTGGCGTGTTGCGGTGCTGAGTGCCCGGCACTGTTCCGGGGCTCGACCCTCCGCTGCTGTTTGCCGGTTTGTAAGCTCACAGGTGTGGCAGATCATCCATCCTCTTCTGTCTTGTGACCTGTCCTTTCCTCCATGTACATTACAGGTTCTCTCCTCCTTCCTCTCAATTCTCCCTCCTCTCCTTTTCCTCCCTCTGTCGTTATCCACTATTAAACTGGTTTTGCTCGCTTTATGAAATTGGTTCCAGTGTGACTTCTAGTGAAGGGTTTAAAGTGCAGTTCTGGCTGCTTAATCTGTGTTGCAGTCTTTTTGTCAATTTCTCAAATGTCTTGTAATTGCTTCAAGTGAATGCTAATAAACATCATTGTTGTAAATAATTTGCCAGTTTTCCTCCCCTCCCCCCATAGGTCTTGTTTTTTTATTTTCCCCCACTGCATCATTGCTTTTGATGTATATCACAGTATGGCATTTACTGGCTCAACTCTTGGCAGTGTAGTGATAAATGTAGCTCAATCCACACATTGAGGATATTGTGCCCTGACAGTTGCAACAGCTGTTCATAAATCAAATAACCAGCTACCTTTAAACTAGTCATTTACTAAGTCATGTTGAATAGTTGCATCATGAATGTGTGCTAGTGAAGACTAAATCGTTTGCTATAAAACATCTGTACCTGTGGTGTTATACTTAGTATTGGGGGAAACGGACAAATCTTTTAAGTTGTGTGATAGCTGTAGTTTTTGTGCATACATCCGTAGAAAATAACATTAGCCTATTTGACAATTTACTTATCAAATGGTGTTGCAGTTATTTGTCGCAGTTTACGTTACATTTGTGGAGTGTAATTTTGAGGTCAGACATGTTGACCATATTTCATTGATTCAGTTGAAACTAGTCCATTTACCAACTAATGTAAGTTGGTTCAGTTACCTACCAAAACATTGAGCTAAGCAACGCCTGGTAGTCGGTAGAGGAGTAGCTATTTAAACGTAAGAACTGGTTTTGTGGGGAAACTTTGGGGATGTGTAACAGCCCACTATTAATAGCTATGGGTTGTTTATTGTCCACTTTAAATCCCTGGTGCACCTTCCCCCCGGTAGACTAAACCCTGGCTGACGCACTACACGGCTTCTGGCACAAACTTAAATCAAGTCTCCGAGTTCGTGCCGTACACAGACCGCTGACGAGATTAAGCTTAGAGGTGAGCACGTTGCACCGTGCCGTGACGGGCAACCTGTGACCTTTCCTCTCCCACAGCTTGGACATAACGACAGGTAGGCCGCGGATCATATATATGGGCGGTGGATGATGCAGGGGCGGAGCCAGAGGACGTGACGTCCCGCTCGGTGAGGACATCGTAAAATCCGTGCATCTGCTCGTTAGCGTTGGTGTTTGGGGAGGATTATCTCGCGGATGGCTGAGTGAGTGAATGTTGCCGATTAAGGTTATCAGGAAGCGACACAGTGAAGACAAAAGAGCCAATACAGGCCTACGATCAGCCACCGAACCATAATTGAACTCTTTCGAATCACAAATCTGTTAATACCCGAAGTTTCTTAGATAAGGCTCCACAACCATGGATCTAACTTTTATTTTATCAGCAATTATTTTCACACTTCTCGCTATTGTGGTCGCAACGTCGCTATTTAGCGGCTCTTCGTCTACAGGCCACTTTACAAACGCACGGAGTTACTTCGGACACACTGAGGACCGTGCAGCCGGGAGATTAGACGAGTCAGGGCCGAAGCAGAATGGCCATGTACCCGGCAAGAACAACAAGACGGAGGACGACTGGTGCAATATCAGCGGGAGCTCACACGATCACTGGGATGTAGTGAAATCCGTGTTTCCAGTAAGTCTGTGCTCTACTGTTCAGTTTTTACACAGTGTTAAACTGTTTCATTACTTAACGTCAGTTCTCTGATTTACTGCCTGTCCCTCCCGCTCACATTGTTTGCAGAGAAAGCAGCACTCAAATCCTTATCTAAATATTAACAGGGCTATAATGTAAGGCGACTCGTAAGTAAATGGCCTGCATTAATTTTTGAAATCAGTGTACTGATCATGTAACGTTGTCAACATTGAAAGAACGGCAAGAACGAGGCAAAACAGAAAAAGGTGTGTCAAATACTGTGCAAATTAGTAACTAGTTGCAACTGTATGGTCAGTATAGTAAGGTGTTTGAAAGAATATTTATTAAAATATATATATATATATGAATATACTTCCACCATTTAAAAACTCTAACCAATACCTCAGAGTTGAATTTAAACAATGGTAGAAGTATTCAGATCCTTTACTCAAGTAAAAGTAGCAATACTGTGTTGTAAAACATAGTAAGTACTCAGCAAAATTACTGCATACAAGTAGTATTTTAATGTTGTAGTTGGCCCAGATAAAGATTACTGCTTTATAGCAATGCAGGTTTATTAAATCATGTCTTACACGTGCAGAGCTGCAACAGTTAGATGATCAATAAGCAATTCAACAGATAATGAGCAATAATTTTGACAATATATAATTTTTGATGCAAAACAGTTTCACAAATTGAATATTTATATTTAATACCTTGTACCTAAGCACAATACTAAAGCAGCTTAACTGTACATGTTTCTAGTAAACAAACATCCTATTCCCTGATGTTGACATAAAATAATGGGCACTGGGGGCAGAGAGGGCAACAGCAGGAGGACTTCACCAGCATAAATGTCTCTTTTAGCCTAAATTGATATCAGTAAGCAAGATGGCTTACTCTTATTTTGAAAAGGCCACTTTGCACCTGTGGCTAATATAGAACTGCTCATGTGGCTTTAGTGGCCCTTCCTGGCCAGTTTTTAGCCTCTTAAATGTCTGTTTAAGGATAGTTGGATGTCTGCCTGTAGAGGGCCTTCAAACTAGACAAAGGCAGGCACAGGGATGCCAAATCAGCACCCAGGTGAGAAAAGCACAAAATGATAACCTTTACCTTTCCTTCACTGACACCTGTGTGAAGTGTAGGCCAAATATGACACAAGGAGTTGGAGCCAGATATTAGTGCAGACACTTCAAATTTGGGCCTGCATACAAGGATGTACACATGGGTAAAGGTAAAAGTACACTATTAGAACAAGTTTTTGTGGGAAAAGCCTGTGAAAAATTATGATGTGATGCCCCTCTCCTGACCCTGTAACTCTCTGACAGGAGGAGGCACACCCCAACCCTCTCACTGAAGAACTGGCAACACCAGTTGAGCACTCCTCCTCCACATCCAGCTCGCCCATCCCCAGGCCTGGATCTAGGCATTTGAGCTTAGAGGTAGAGTCATCTACCAAGGCCTCGTCAGGGAGGGGTCGTACGTCATTCATTGGGCTCTCTGATAAGGAGCTCCTAAAGTGTGCTTTCTCTTACCCCCAGACTGAAGGAGCCACAGAGAGCCCGGGGATCAACGGTGAGCACGTTTAAAAAGTTATGAGTTAAATATTCAAATATGTCCACTGTATTCCTTCAGAATAAAGATTTGGTGTTGGTACCTAATCGGTGTTTATTCTGTTTTATCAGATGAAGTGGAGTCCAGCGCAAATGATTCCTTGAAGTACATCCCTGGAAAGGCTCGATCACACCATTTGCAAATGATGATGTCCAAAAATGAGCTGGAGGAGGAACAGAGGTCAGTGTCAAATACAAATATGGATAATTAATTAGTTTATAAAACCTTTATAAAATGTGCCCAGATATGTCACAATATGTAAAATTCCCAGAACTGGACACCTTCACTCGTGGTTACTGAGTTTCCAAATCTGCTCGATATCTTACTGACTGACTGAAAATCCTTTGTTTTCATTCATTTTAATGGAATGAATGTCTTTGTTTCCATGTCCCCAGTGTCCAGTGTCGACTCCTCTTCTTCCTCCCTGTCACCTTGTCTTCACGTGTTTGTGTGTTGTTTTCGCTCAGAGCCTTCCACGTTTAGCTCCTGTATCAACCCTCAGCTTTAGGCTAGGGGGAGTAAGGCGAGATTGAGTCTCTGCCAGGCATTAGGTAAAGGAAGGATAACACAAGACTTAAAGAAATCATAGGTGTTTGGTCGCTGCTGGAGCAAAGGCTTTTCTTAGCTGGAACAAAAAGTAAAAAAAAAAAAAAAACAGGAACCAGAAGAGTAACTGAAACAAAGTTTACCGTTTTTTGTTTAGTTTTTTCTGTAATGTGTCTACATACCCTGCTCTTATCATTGCAGGATATACTCCATCACAGACTTTAACTCTCTGTAACCCTGCAAAAAGGAGCAAATCTGTGGTAAAGTATGAGTCATTGTCACCGGTTTGTCCCAGGCGAGTCACTTTCTGGCCATTGTATGAAAACTTCTCCATGTTTCAGAACAATCTGATTTCACAGTTTTGACCTCAGCACTGATTTTTGGCCGCATCAGCTCTGTTTCTTCAAATGGCCATGAAATGACTGATGTAACTGTGCAGTGCTACGTACATGACCCCACATGCCCTCCTCACACTGCCCCTTATTCCACAGTACATGTGTGATTCTCACGTGTCACAGCTGGTGTTGATTGTGTCTCCAGTCGGAGAAGCGTTGTTTAACCCTCTGAGGGCTGTTTAAATACTGGTGATTTATTTTTTTAACCTGGCCTTTGTTTACATACAGTATATTTATGGTTCTGCTGCTGTTTGTCAGTGTGAATTTTACCAGATGTGAATAAAGTTTGTACATAAATGTTCACAGTTTTGACCTCAGCACTGATTTTTGGCCGCATCAGCTCTGTTTCTTCAAATGGCCATGAAATGACTGATGTAACTGTGCAGTGCTACGTACATGACCCCACATGCCCTCCTCACACTGCCCCTTATTCCACAGTACATGTGTGATTCTCACACTGATGTAACTGTGCAGTGCTACGTACTGTACATGACTCCACATGCCCTCCTCACACTGCCCCTTATTCCACAGTACATGTGTGATTCTCACGTGTCACAGCTGGTGTTGATTGTGTCTCCAGTCGGAGAAGCGTTGTTTAACCCTCTGAGGGCTGTTTAAATACTGGTGATTTATTTTTTTAACCTGGTCTTTGTTTACATACAGTATATTTATGGTTCTGCTGCTGTTTGTCAGTGGGAATTTTACCAGATGTGAATAAAGTTTGTACATAAATGTGCAGGATATTTGTTTTCTTTCAGCTCTCAGTATTTCTTTGATATTTTTGTTCTTTTACCAGAGTACAACGGGAACAGCTGGCTGCCATCTTCCAGCTGCTGAAAGACAACAAGGAGACATTTGGGGAGGTGTCTGATGGAGACATAGAGGAGCAGCTCAGACTCTACTCCATTTGAGACTCCACTCTGACTCAGGTCTTCACGTTGTGGACCACCCTCTCTGCCTGTGCTCTTCCCTGTGACCACTACTGAAGGACTTCTCCAGTTCACCAAATGCATCAATAAACCTGTTCACAGTATTCAACACAGCTGTACCGTCCACTCAACAACTACTCTGACAATATGTCGTACTTTCATTTTTACCATTTGTACAAGCCACCTGTCATTCAGACTCGGTCTACATGAAAGACTAAATGAAAGCAGCTGGACCTCTTCCAGCCCAGAGTGCAATTTTCTAGCCACCCAAATATGTGAATAAAGACTGAAAGGGATAAAGGACTATTGCTATGTCTGTTAGGTTTATATCATAACATTTTTAAGATCCTTAACAGAACACAAGGGTTAAAGAGTGAATTTATTAAAACACTTCTGAAACATAAGTTTTATCTTCATCAAATCTGTAACTGACATAAATCCTGCCAGATTACTTCTGCATAGCCTCCTCTCTGTTGTGTAATAAACCAGCTTATCTACCATTGTGAATGTTTATGTGAGAGAAGGATTCCTGCTTTACTATGTGAACTGCGCAACAATCCTGCGCAGTCACCTTCTGTTACAAGGTTTCAAATGTCACAGTAGGGGTTGTGCTATCTAGTAATATATTACAGGAGGGAAAACAAACACTCGTCTCTATTTAAGTGAAGAGCAAATCATACACATCTCGGTGATGGGAGTCCAAGTCAAATGGATATTTTTTTGGCTGGTTG